ATCCCAAAGAGCGATATATAGGCCAGGTTTCCACTGTTGACTATCCTGTTATGTTTAGATACAGCGCATGAACTTAGGCATGGCATAGTAGATGTTTTACGGCGCTATAGAATAGAAATGGCAGGTACGGCGCCAGCGAGGGCCTTGCTTTGATATAATATTTGGCTAGTGTTTGTTTCTGGCTTCTTTTATTTTATTATTGTGGGTGCTTTATGTTTTAGAACATTAAAACATTTTGGGCGGCACTGCACGGCCGTGCTCTATGGACGAACCGCGCATGGGATAGACACAATGAAAGGAGTGGTAGCAGAAGAAAAGAACACATCATAGGGAATTTACCCACTAGCTAAAGTGTCGAAAGAAGTCGATTTATTTATTCAATCTGCAAAAAATGGCAAAGACTGTCTATTTAGAATGTAGATCTAGCTTCTAATTTTGAGCCATTCTTTGGTGTAGATAATAATATCGTACCTTCTATAAAGAAAACAGCTTTTTGCCTCTACATCTAATATACATTAAACTGAATTAATTAGCTCCTCAAGTCTAATCATACTTCGGTATCTGAACAGTGGATGTTAATGTTAAGCGCCCAGTCAACAGAAATTAAATCATGTTGCAACCAGGCAGCAGAGACCGTACCATTCGAAAAGGCGGAGATCCTCGATAAAACAAATTGGCCCATACGACGAACTCCAAAGTCTTTTGTGTCAATACGTCAAGAGTAACAGTACGTTTCGACAAAAAAATCATCTACATTGTGTATTATAATGGAATGCAAACTGTACATCTAATATATTTTCAAAATAATGCATTATACAGATGATATTGTCCAGCGGTAGTTGATTTTTCAGGAACAATGAAACACTTCTGTCAATGTATAAGCTCGCCTGACCAGCTTGATCTGCGACTTTAGACATTGTTACCTGCTTATCTATCTATCTATCTATCTATCTACCTATCTATCTATCTATCTATCTATCTATCTATCTATCTATCTATCTATCTATCTATCTGTGCATTTCCATATCCAAGGGAAAATAACAGCATTTTAACGTTTACATCTATATTAAGAAAGATATCTTTGGTAATCTGCCATTTTCTGAGTAGCCTTCATGTATATAAGTTTGCTCCAGAATGTAATGATACAATACATATAATCGAGCATAAAATAGTTTTCCCTCCTTATCTCATAACTAAACATTTGGGTGTAGCTCCTCGGGGACTTAGAAAGGCGGTCCAGATTTTTACTTGAGCAGTGTTAATCACTTCCCAATTCTTGTTTACAGGCTCGACTTACTATCAATTGTCTCGAACATAGATGGGATGAAAAGGAAGTACCCAAATAACTTTAAACAGTTACTGATTCGTAGATCTTACCCTCGCAATACCATCTATAAGACCTTTTGAGAACACCTCAATTCCTTTAAAAAAAACCCATAGATATATTTCTTTTATTAATGAAGACTTTGAAACCCCACATCTGGCAGAAATCACATAATATTGTTATTTTATTTCTTAAATCTCTAACACTGTCATCAAAAGACTTAGATCTAGATAATCAGCGTACATCAAACACGAAATACCTTTGTCATCATTAGGGAATACCTGCTTTGCGTGGGCATTTATTGATTCTGAAAGGTGTTTTTCAAGCTGTTTATCTATTGAATGCATACTAAAGCTTCATATTTAGAAATAGACAGTTTTCATTCGTTTTCTTTTATAGTAAAATGCATTTTGTAAAATTCTGAAACAGACGAATTGCATTACTAAGTCAAGCCTTACTTGAAAGCAGGATTCTTGTCTGCGGCTTGCTGCATCATGTAAATGAGTTCTCTCTGGGGGTGGTTGTTGACCTTCACCTCATACTCAAAGTATGGTGTCTTAAACTGGTTGTTCAGTTTCAAAGTGACGGAAATGGGATTTCCGCACAGGCCACATGCCGTGACAGTGGGAGCGCGGGGGAGTTTGCTGCCCGAGTCGTCTCCATCGACGTTTGTGTCAGTCCTTGGAAAAGGTTATACAATTAATTATTCAAAATTCAAATCAAATGTCGGGGGGGGGGGGGTGTCAATGTAAATGTTTGATATGTTATTAGTAAAATTCCATGAAATACCCCCCCCCCCCCAAACAAAACAAAAACAAACAAACAAACAAACAAACAATAAAAACAACAACAACCAAAAACAAAATACACAGACAAATAAACCTGTTTTTAATAACACGAAGGGCTTTCTGGCCGAAACAGCTGACAGAAGGCAGGAACTGCTGCACTACAAACTAAAAGAGAAATAGATAGATAGATAGATAGATAGATAGATAGATAGATAGATAGATAGATAGATAGATAGATAGATAGATAGATAGATAGATAGATAGATACCAAGCCTCCAAGAGGGGCGAGTGAGATAAAGCAATAGAAGAGGGTAAAAAAACGAGAAAGAATGAGAGAGAGGCAGAGAGAGAGAGAGAGTAACTCCCCAAAATTTGGCAGCTTTTCTCTATAAATTATACCTCTGAAACCAGACGATCCCCACCCCATTCAATCTCAAATAGCTCGACATCTATTTAAGCCGATGGATCTTTCTTTCATTGAAAGAAAGGAAAATGAATAAAGTAACACATGTCCAAAAATTGACGAGCGCCTGATTCCAATGCGTCGTGACACATATTATGTATGTGTCCACTGCGTCCTTTAAAAACTTAAAAGACGGCGTACTCACTTCTTGGCCTGTCTGCTGCAAGCCAGATTCGCCGTGACTGCGAAGATCAGCAGAAACGTGCAAAGGAAAGCCTGCATGTTTGCAAAACGCTGGAGCTGGTGGTGAGAAATCTGAGGAGTAAAAAGATTGATAAATCTGCTCACTTCCATAGCTCTGTGAGTATCTTGTTTCACAACGGCGCAGTTTACCCTGACTCCACTCTAATGAACTTGAGATGGTTTGATAATTTTTCAAGGCTCTCCATTACCTTGACTGAGTCCCATCGCGATTTTCGTTGCACTCCCTCTGTCTGTCTGTCTGTCTGTCTGTCTGTCTGTCTGTCTGTCTGTCTGTCTGTCTGTCTGTCTGTCTGTCTGTCTGTCTGTCTGTCTGTCTGTCTGTTTGTCTGTCTGTCTTGTCTCTCTTTTCTCACCCTCTTCTCTCTCTCTCTCTCTCTCTCTCTCTCTCTCTCTCTCTCTCTCTCTCTCTCTCTCTCTCTCTCTCTCTCTCTCTGTCTGCCTGCCTGACTCTCTCTCTCTCTCTCTCTCTCTCTTTCTCTCTCTCTCTCTCTCTCTCTCTCTCTCTCTTCATCTCTCCAACCATTTTGATCCCTCCCCAAACTCTTCTTCTTAACATTTACATCCATATTTTTTATTTTTCTTAACTTCACTCCCTACATTTAGTCAGGACACTCGACTGAAAAGGTAAATTCAAGAACGGATAAGACAATTTCAGAACACAATTAAATTCCAATGACCGACTTCGAAACAAACTGCACCCCGTCCCCTTTTCCCGTGAAACAGTTCTGAATATGTTTGATTTACTCAACTTGAATGTATTTTCAATTCTACTGATTTTCTTTCTTTTTTTTTTACCCTCACTCTGTGCATTGCTCCTCAACCTTCTTACACAATATTATTTCTCTTTGCTTTCAAACTCTTTCATCTCCCCGCTACTGGTCCGACATCAGATTCTGTGCCGCAGGTAATAATGTTATAAAAGGATACCTCAGGAAGTAGTCTACAACTTCACTTGACTGGTTCTTCGTTCTCAATAAACCTGCGATTGTCCATAAAAGGCTAGTAAAAAGCCCATCCTGGGGGATTCTTTCCTTTTCTTTTCTTTATCTCATTTTTATCTCCTTTGTTTCTTTTTCATTTTTCTTTTTTTTTTCTTTCTTTCTTTTTTCTCTTATGGTTGTTGGTTGTTGTTGTTTTTTGTTGTTTTTTTTTTGGGGGGGGGTGGAGACATTTTTTTCTTAAGCTCAAAAATATCTTATTCTTAACATATGTAGCCTTTCATAATACATTCAAGATTGGATGATCATACAATGACTATAACAAAATCAGCGCTGTTCTGTGTGAAAAAGAAGGAAATGTGGCAGGGATGATCCATCGAAGTCAGTTATGAAACTTGTTTACCTGAGGACAGCAGGCGATCAGTAGTCTCGTGTCACCACAAGAGGAGTCCTTCTTGCTATTGGTGCACAGATAATGTATGCCCCCCCACACCTCAACACACACACACACACACACACACACACACACACACACACACACACACACACACACACACACACACACACACACACACACACAAACTTGATAAGGGAGAATACAATTCTGACACGGTCCGATTTATAACACATGCCAAGTAGTTTCAATTTCTTTCAAGCGTGAAGTTCGTTTTCTTCTTCTACCACCGTCCCTTCGTGTTGATATGACGGGCAAAGATATTAATCAATTCAGCTTCTTTATTCACACAAAACCAAACAAACAAAGCCTAGGCCATTTTTTGACATCTTACATCCAATGTTTTGTTGTTGCTATTTTGGCTTACTTTTTAAAAAAATCTAAAGCAACAGTAAGAAAATGCTTTGATCAAATTGGGATTCTAAAAATAGGGTCAGCACGTCAAGGTGCAAAGCACAAGTACGGCAGTCTATGCTCTTATGAAAAAGCAAAGGGGCACGACAAAGCAATTAATAATTATAATAATATGTTCTTACAAAAGCCAGCAGCAAATGTAAATAGAAAAGAGCAGTAATTTGTTTTTCAGAATCAATTTGTCATCGTAGGCCGGTGTCCATGACCAGTATGACAGGATTCTTCTTTCCACTTAAGTTCGAATAGTTTGTTTACTGTACTCTGTATAAGGCTCGGGGTAGAGGATAAAGGATTTAAGAAAAAAAAGGTAAAACAACTCAAAAGAGAAGAGAATTTTTCTTCTGCTTTCCTCAGTAGAATCCCAGGGGTAATTACGACGGTAGCCTATTTTTGTACCCACTGGACATTTGATTTCTATATTATGATAATTATAACTTGCTTTCTACAAATGCCCCTCGCTCTCCTTCCGGCAATCGTAAGCCGTTGCAGTACATTTCGTGTTTGCTCACTTAAAGCATTTTGTTGACTTTTGCATAGGAATAAGATTAGGCTAATAAATGTCGATTAACATTTGCAGTTTTAACAACATCCAAACCCAACTTTGAACCCCCACCCCCCACCCTCTTCTCTCCTCAAGCTCAGTCCTAGGCTACCCATCTAGGTCTTACCCTTCACCCAATTTCCAAATCTCAACAACTAGCCAAGCCTCGAGCCACCATGTGTATCAAGAAACATTGTGGGCAAGCAAAGAACACCATCCTAACAGTGTTCTGTTTTTATTCAGACTAATTAACATTAAGAGTTTCTTTAATAAAAACGCCTACACCTTTTCCACTCTCTTCTGCACGGACCAAGGCTGCCTTAGGCCGTCAGACATGATGTGTTGTACTCCTGGGAAAAGCCACGTTATACTCAGTCTAAATACACTCTATAATTATTCTAGCATTGTATACAAACACCGTAGCTCAAACACAAGCTAGATATCGTCAGCGATAGATGTAGATCTAAATGCTAAATAAGTTCCCTACCATTGTGAAGAATGTGGAGTCCTCCTGTGGTATTTTAAAAACAGAAGTAGTTGCAACGTCAGATGTTCTCCTCTCTTAGACAACCGAGAAGTGAAAAAGCCAAAGGAGATAAAGCACAGCAGTCGGGTAGATATTTGAGACCCGGATCCTACATCGTTCACTCCGACACGGTCATTGCATTTTAGACTTTGAAATTCAAGGCAGGTCCACCTGCAGCGCCTGGCCTGCCTTCAAGGCGCCGTAACAGAAGTAGGCTATATAACAGCCGTTCTGCTCTGTTAATTTCTAAAGGCGTAGGGCAATATAATGCATATATAATATATATATATATATATATATAAAAAAAAAAATATATATATATATATATATATGCATTATATTGCATATATATATATATATATATATATATATATATATATATATATATGTATTATATATATATATATATATATATCTTATACAACGTGTAACACAAAGAGATCATATGGCAGGAAAAGTGCAATTGTTATATTTTCTTTTATGGAAAGCAAGAAAAGTCGACTCTTCTTTTCTTATTTGGGTAATCGGTGTTTTTGTTGATAATTATGAGTATGTATCATCTCACTGAAAAATTCGTTTGCTTATATATAAATATTGTCACACCCATTTCTTGGGGTGATTATTACGAGGTAATTGGGCAGTCATTTTTCTACAGTGATAGAGAAATGAACTGTGTACTCTCTATTCACCACTCTGTTTAGCGCCCAGGTGTTGAGGGATGGCACAGTTACAGATGACATTATAACCGCACCAACACATCTAAGGGGCCCCATACACGCAGGGATCTTGTATCTGGGGCCGGATCTGACCCCCACCCTCTAAAACGTCAAAAAATGGCGTCGTGCGTGTGGCCGATTTCATGAAGTCGAGCGAGAGGAGCAGGGCAGGTCTAGAAATCTAGGCTGCGTCCAATATTTTTTGCATCGGCCCAGGGGAAGAATTGAGTGTTTTCAAATTTGACTTCCAAATCGTTGCAAAGGTCACATTTATTATGGAAGTCATACTAAACACCATGCCAATTTGATGTCAAATAAGCATTCTGATTGAACCCCCCCCCCCCCCAGAAAGATATAAATAAATACTACTACTACTACTACTACTACTACTACTACTACTACTACTACTACTACTACTACTACTACTACTACACTACTACTACTACTACTACGTACTAAGAAGAAGAACTCTACTTCCTGTGCCGACTGTGTAAATTAACAAGATACAGTGGCGATATCCTCAGGTGTGACTGTTGCGCATGTTTTCAAAAAGACAGGAGGCAAGCCGCGTTGCCAAGTGTGCTCCCATTGGCTCATGCGCATATGAGCCGCTGAAGAGTGTCATCAACAATTCACACCTAGTGAACGAAATGTGCATTACCTGTGTTACCTGTCGATAATGACACTGATTCGCAAGGAGGGAGACAAGGGGGTCATGAAAATATGGTTACTTTTATATGGTTTCCTTATCTAAAGGAGCGAAGGCATAAACCAATGGGAGCAAAGCTTTCTGCTTATCTAAAACGTCCTGAGCAAAGATCTGAGGTTGACGATTAGGAAATTGTTTTGAAGGACTTAGCCTGCAATAGGTTTTAAATACATGCTTTCATTCTCGCATTATCCGATTTTTTTCCGCAATCCTAAAAAACCATTGGATGTTGGATGCCTTGTAACTAACCTTGCAGTGTACAGAATACTCGTTGTGCCCATAGTGCAGCACGTCATTTGCACACATGATTTGGCATGGATAATTTCTACTGTCTATTCGCTCAGAATTGATCCTTTCTGGGAGTTTTACTTTCCATTTATCTTGAATACAAGTCATAATATTTGAGATTTAAGGGGGTGGGGTTCGCGTGGTTTCAGAACTGGAGAGTCCATAGAAATTGAAAACTTAGATCTTTTATGCCTCTAATCAACGTTATACCAGTAAAATAAACACAGAAATGTGTTCGTGGGCATGAAAGGTGTTGAGCCAAAAAACTAAAATTTGATAAAAATTCCCAAACCTGCGGAAAAAGCCAGTTTCTTGACTTTGATTATTTTGACGAGCGCCTGATTTCACCACGTTGCTTCACTTATAATACTTAATGCATGTACCTTTTTAAACCAAAAAAAAAGGGAGGGGGGAGGGGTGAGAAGTGGTCGTTTGTACTACATGTAGTGATTTTCTTGACTGTATTGCTATATTGTAAATATAGTGGGGATAAGCGCTATACAAATGCTATTTATTATTATTATTATTATTATTATTATTATTATTATTATTATTATTATTATTACTATTATTATTATTATTATTATTATTATTATTATTACTATTATTATTATTATTATTATTATTATTATTATATCATTATTACAGAAGTAGTGAACAACCACTAAACATGGCCACTCTATTGATCCATAGTCACCGGCTATGGTTTTTCTCTTTTCCCTCTGGGCTGTTCCTCTTCATATCTTCTGTGGTCTAATTAGGACGGTGGTAACTGGTTGACCAGCTTAGACATTAACAGTGACGTTGCTCGTGAAAACAAACCTGAACGAAACATGAACGTATGGCTATTACATGACCTGTCCGGCATAGTGATAACACGTTTCACTTCGATCTGACCACTGACACACACACACACACACACACACACACACACACACACACACACACACACACACACACACACACACACACTCACACAAAAAATTTAATTCGGGGGAGGTTGTAGTGAAGGTGTGGTGGGAGGGGTCTACACTTGCTGCACATATTCTAAGTACCACCCTTATCTCCCCCCCTCTAATAGGAGAAATAACGAGCAAGTCCTTCCCAAAACAATAAATAACCATCAACATAAACAAGAGGGCGACAAAGCAAGTACTTTGTACTCAGACCATGCCATAGTCAAGGGTAATCGCGAAAGTCCCAATTTTGTTGAACTAAATATTATACCCAGTACCCATTGGCTCGATCGGTTCTGTTCGTTTCGGTTTGCTAGCCACATTGAGGGCGCAAAGCTGCTATCGTGGCACAAACTGATCTACCGTCTCGTCGCCTAAAAAAACAAACGTGTTTTTTCCCAACAACGAGTCGGGCGATCGGTTGGCGATCGGTTTGTCGATCCCCCCAGTGGGCACTCCGCATTAGCATGCATGAACAACTTGTAGAGACAGTGATCAGTTGGCATCAAGCTGCGATTTGACGTGGATGGAACTGATTCAAATGCCTAATGAGGAGTTCTCAAACCCAGATCTAAGCGCCTATTTTTAATTTTTTGTTTGTTCCATAAATGTTCAGTTTGAAGGGTCTGCCTCGTCAAAAATTATTTTTTTTTTTAACGGGGCGTTAAATCAAGATCATGAATGTATGAAAAGATACGAATTTGTCAGTGGATCCCTTCCTACGTCAAACTTCCGCCTCGGGACAAAGAGCTGGAACTGCAAGACGTTACATTTCTGTCGCGATTTGTAAAAGCAGAACAAACATTAAAACAGAGAATACGCTGTTCAACGCTACTCTAATTGAACGTTGGTCCCCTCCCCCCCAAATCCCCCCCCCAAAAAAAAACAACAACAACAAACAAATAAAACACCCAAACAACCCCCAACAAAAAGAAATCTCTCTCTCTCTCTCTCTCTCTCTCTCTCTCTCTCTCTCTCTCTCTCTCTCCCTCTCTCTCTTGTTTCTCTATTTCTCTTTTTGTCCTACTGTCTTTTGCCTCCATTCCGCCCTTGCTCTTAAAGTACAATCCTACATTATTGTGTACTGAAAAGTCGAGCTGGGGTTATATCCATTGCACAAGATAATACGTGCAGATGTTCGCTCCTCAGCCATATTATACGAGGGGGGACAAACCAGGACATTTTCAGGTCAAACACTAAAGATGCATGGGTTATCTCTTCTACAATTGAGTTGGATCCTATTCGAAAACAAATTTTGCGAAATTAGATAGGTGTAGCCCCTTTCAACACTGTAAGGTTATGTAAGAGGCAGAACCTCGGGCTTTTAACTTGAATATCCAATAGGACGAGCCAAATGGGCTGACAGTCTTTAAAAAACCCTCCCCAAAACAACTCAAACTCAGAACGCTCCGTTTAAGGATTCGAACCAGGGCCATCCGCTCTGGAGTCCAGCAGGACGCCACCTGCTGAGCCTAAAGTGTGCACTATTCTTATTCAAAGACTCGCTTCAACTGAACTGGACGAGTGGCATTAATTGATAGGAAAATTCTACAACAACCATGATGAAACCGATGGGAAAGAACAAACTGTGTGTGGGTCGAGCGCATGCTGATCAAAAGATTCGTCTTATCTCAAAGCGTCATCAGGTAGACAAGTAAAAATAAAGAAAGAAAAAATAACCGACACGTAAAACCTTTGGTAGAATTTTTTTTTCAAAGATTCCTCCGGCTTTGGTCTTCAGAATCCTTTCCTTGGTGTCATCATTAGTTCCAACATGCTTTTTTGCGCTGTTCCCGGCTGTCATTCGGTTCAGCAGCTGCAGTTGAAGAGGGTTTCGTGGTCAAAAAAGAGAAAACTTTGAATTCTTTTCATTGTTTACAAGTCACAAGATTCCACCCTAGAATGACAGAGTTCTGTTCTATTTGTTCAGCATCAAGTTTTGATAAATTTGGCGTCAAAATTTAAAGTTTCTCAACATGTCAAGCTTTTTCGAACACAACTCTTTGCATAAACATATCTTGATAACGACTCCGACTAATCTCACGATTTTGATAGAGCAGATTGAACTTTGGTTTCTGACCTCAAGGACTTAGTAACTCATAAAAGCCAAAAATATCACAGAAAACTTTATAATTCAAAGTGGGCAGGAAGGGGGGGAGCGAGGGAAGGGGGGGTAGAGATGCAAAGTAGTCTGTAGATAGTTTTCCTTCCCTGAATCAAGCTTGTTACGCTCTCGTTTCTACTATTATATTCATCGTCCTTTTACTCTATCGAGCATGACCTGGCTCAAAATGTATTTCGTAATGCATGTCTAAGGATTGTTGATCTAAGACAAAAGTATAACATATAATCTACTATCAGACAAACCTTGATAAGAGGTCAGATCGCGGGGTGAAGGTGTGTGCACTGCCATGCAGTAGCTTTAAACACTTTAATCCCTCCCTCATAGATACGTTTAGCAAATAGAAATATTAGAACGATAAAAATTTAAACATCTTACACCGACTTACAAAAGTGTAACTAGATGTATCTCTTCATGGAAATAAGAGCTAGATCTACAGACATGATTTATAAAACGCGATCGTTGCCCTTATCTTTGGTGTTCAGGTTCCACGCACTGGATGTCTTGCTTTGGCAGGTATTGCTGTTTTGACCAGTTGTCACTTATATATATATATATATATATATATATATATATATATATATATATATAAACTCATTGACATTTTTAACTTCACACATTTTAAAAGCGTGTAGCTCAAAAAAACAAAAACCATACACATCCAATTAATTTGAAATTTTTACACATTTCACATAAGCTCATTGTTATTCGTGATTCCTGAACTGTAGTCACTAGGGTGCGTTGGTCTATCGTTTTGTCTGACTGTCATTCACGAGGTTTGGAATTTTGTTAAATACTGTGAGAAAGTGTGGGTGATTTTGAAAACCAAAACCACACGCACAACGTTGGACTCCTTCCAAGTTTTTCGCCACATATAAAAGTGGCTTCTCTTTTTGGATTCACCATGCTTTGGCAGAATGAATCAGAAAGAAATCCCATCATTGTAATGCTTCAGGTGGACACCCGGCTATCGTTAGTTGCGAGTAGGTTCAACGTAAACAAACACCCTGTGTATGCCACACGGGATCACATGGCAACGATAGGCTCTCAAAAGGACAGACCCAGGCGAGTAGAGCGCAGAAAGACAAAACGGAGGGTGAACTCATTCATCCTAACACAACACTTGAGAAATCAATTTCAACCGTCAAACAAAGGCCCAGGATGAGTCGAAAGGACTAAGAAATGACAGCCCGATCTTAGTCATGACTGCTCTTCGTAAAGGGTCTAGTTTGTCGCAAAAACATTCAGCCCGATCATATCCAGCACAGACTTCACTGGGCACAGCGTCGCGTGTGATAGCCAAGGCTAAATCAACCCAGTTCTCGGGCCCAATGATCTTTTCTTTCAAAATCAAGCCCAGGGACAGGTATTTATGCATGATAATGCATCTACTCATAAGGCTGCTGTGACTAATCAATTTCTCAAAACTAGCAACATTCCTCCCCTGCACCCATGACCAGCGCATTTAACCAAATTCCAATCCTATTGAGCGTTTGCGGGACATTTTAGATCCCGACATCGGTGCAACACCACACCAGCCCCGTACCCCTTGCTCAGTTAGATTAAGCCTTAATTGAAGAGTGGAATATTATCCCTCAAAAGACAATACCTCGATTCATCCCGTCCTTGCGTCGACGATGTAAAGATGTGACAACGCCAGATGTCATCACACGTTGTTGAAAGCTGTCACTTTTCATTTTGACCCCTGACAACTGAAAGTTCAAAATTGAAGATTAAAAACATTCGTTTCCCATACTGTAAAATGAATGCACTGTCTTATCTGAAATTTTAAGACAGGTTCGTTAAGTATTAATCAAGATATTACCTTTAATATGAGGTGTGAGGTTAAAAATGTTAAAGAGTATATAGATTCTATATAATTTCCTGTACAATATATACATTCCCTTTTAAAACAGAACAAGTCTACGACAGTTAGCCCATTTATATTATCTAATTATATTATACTTTCTATAAAGTAGTAAAGCACTGTAACAGTATATATATATAATATATTACTTTTGCTGTTGTTTTTTCAACGCAAGCAAGCAAAGGACAATCGCCATTATCAAAGTCGTTTACCTTATTTTATTTAGACTACTTCTGTCCGTCCGGTACTGAGAACTGTCTGCTGGCCAACGACAACATGTTTAAAAATCAAGACTGACAGCGGGTTGACAATGGACTAGGGGTGAACAAAATGTCCTCTGCTCCAGCTGCTAATGAAAGAAAAAATGTCAGGTCCTGGATAATGGTAACAGGAAAGTTGCAGACGTAAATTCAGTCATTTTCGTTTCAGAAAGCCCTCGCAGTCAGCAAATGAACTTTACAAACTCAATCTACGATAACCTTGAGAACGGAGGTGTCTAATAATCTCGTCGTCGGTGCCATAGTAATTTTGCCCTTTGTCCTTTTTATTTTTGGTTCTGCTTAACAGTTCTCATTTGAAGAAAATCCGTTGGTTAAAGTTTATTTCGAGTCCCCTTTCTGCCATCTTAAAAACGTCTTTGGAAATGACGTCACATCGACCAAAATGTGGCCATAGGGAGAGAAGAAATCCCGGATCTGCCTGCTTGGTTTCGTGAGGTGTGAAAGGGGGAGGGGAAAGGGGTTGGTAAATTTATTTTTACCCCTCAAGGTCCAAGGCTACAATTTCTCCTCGCTATCTTTGAACAAGATGAGGCTAGGTGTGTTTAACATAACCTTTAGGCCGGCAGGAAAAACTGATTAAAAGTAGGTTTGCGAAGGCAAAACTGCTTTTAAGCTGAAACAAAATAGGAAACCAACAATTATGAACAAAGATTTAATTGCGGCTCTGCACGAAAAACAAACATTATACGGCAGACTGTTGTGGCCTCCGAATATTTATTATTGTGTGGTCTTGTTTATCTATGTGTGGTCTACTAATGTCAAGCAGGATTTGGTAGCTGGTTTCTTTCTGATAAACCTCAATCACTTCTCTTGTCTGTTGAGAATTTTTCCCCGAGGTGATGACAATCCGTGAATGACCTCTCTTTTCGTGTATATTGGATGTATCAAATGGCCTCTGTTATCAAAAAAGTCTTCTGTTGAACCAGAGCAGCAACATGGCTGCAAATCTTCCATTTCCGGAGCCTGTTGCGTCCACCCCTTTCTAATAAATAAAGAGATTAATAAAATCACGGATTTTAAGACATAAGCCAGCCGAATGATTATGGGACGCAATGAAATCCGCCCCTTTCCATCTCCCCGTGACGTCACAACACTACTTGAAGAATATTTGATTCTGGATTCCTCCCCCCCCCCC